GCAAATCAATTTCCCAGAGCACCTGAAGCAGAAAATATGTAATGAGTTTGTACATGTACCAGGTGCAACATGTATGGCAAGCCAACAAGGAATAAATATTTGCTGCGCACCCAGAGCAACTCATCTTGTTTTATCAATCATTAATGCTTATTCACAATTCATGCTCGCTCTGTGCTTTTACTTGCATAAATTATGATTTAAAGCAGCAGAGTCAGTGTGACTGTGTGGCAGACATTTGTTCCTTGTTGGATGTTCCTGCATTTTATGTGCACCTCACAGATGCAAAGTATATCATACCTTTAATATATGGTTCACTGTGGAGACTGTGATATCCCAGCTGTATTTGATGCCGCATTCAAGCCGCTTTGCAGGACACGAGTGACCAAGGGTAGAACAAGATCAACCATAGACAATCTGTAGCTGATTGTATTGCTTTTAATATAACTGCTAATTTAGATTTGTTTAATCTTGAGCTGTTGACATCTGTTGGTTTAATGCAGTGTTTGCAGGCAGTCTTGTCAGTTTAGTGAGAGCAAGTTGTGATGATAAATGTTAGATCTCATAGCATTTAAAATCCCCACACATCTTATGTGTTATTATGACTTGGAGGTATGTCTTTTTTTTTCATCAGTTTGCAGCTCATGCTTACAGTAAATCTGGAATGACGTGAGCTAGAGGCCAGCAAATGAAGGGACACCATCAGATATTTCTTTATTGTAGACATCTTCATGTTTTGACAATCACTATGATTTACATATGTAATAATATATGTCTCAGTTTTTAATCTGTCATTTCTATCAAGCATGCCCTCTGACATTTTAGTTTCTCTCATGTCATCTTCCCTACCTATTGTGCCTTTGAGCAAATAGCACAGCAGCCATGGAGCTCTTAGACTGGCATTATACTGTATATACTATGTGCAATAAAACATTTTTCGCCTAGGAGAAAAGTCTATGCAGTATTGGCATTCTCAGACTGGACACTCCTCTCAGTGGTCATCAGCCATCTGTCAGTTTCAAGACTGAAGCGATGATTGTTCCACAGGGAGTTGTCTTGGTGAAAACAAAATATTACTAAACTTTCTTTTCATCTTCCCACCTACCAGTGATTGGGCCCAGAATAGACCTTAATGGACAACAAAGTCTCCGCGATGATCCATCATTTCCTGGCCAGCCTTGACAGCTGTTTTTCGTGCCTTTTTCTAATCAAGGACCCATTAAGGCCTCATTAGAATGCAAGTGAGGAAAGGGAGGGGGTGGTGTGATTGCGTCCAATTACATGCAGACTTCAATTCATCAAGTGATTTGGTCTGGGAGAGAGGTGCCTGTTCAATGGGGAAAGGGCTGCTTGTTGTGATTCACTTATGCCACGTCAAAGTGGGGAAAAAACAATGAAGTTTATCAGTTAGATGCTCCTCAACTTCACATTGCTTGTCATATGTGAGCCAAACAAAGAAGCTCTCTCTGCTCTCTCATTTTATATCCAGTATCACTTAAGTGGCATAACAGAAATGCATAAATGATGCTAAATTAAGTTTAATTAAACAGCTGGCTGTTTCCATCCTTCCATTCCATTTCAACCAATCAGATCTTAGAAGGTGAGATTAAGAATAGGGACATTATTTTCCTCCATAGCTAGCTAGCTATCTGCTAGCTAATCTTCTGTACGGATTATAAAGTAACCATGAAAGTGGATGATATTGACAAAGCTGTACAACTTGTTGTCAGTCCTCATACAGAAATAATAACTCTTAAATAGACACTTTTGGCTGGACTGCAACGGCCCTATAAATGTCTGTCTCTGACTGACTGAGCGATGAGGTTACACCATTGGTCAGCCGAATGCTGCATGACAGTGATAAAGTCATTTTTGGTGGTTGTTCTTTCAAAACGATTTGGTGAAAAAAAAAATGATTGATTGATTGCGAGTCAAATTGGTTCAGTCAGATTATCTTATCAAGTATTTCTACAGTGGATCCGTAGCACAAAAGATATTAGACACATCACAGTCATGCTGAGCCTCATTTTGTTTGAACTTTTTTCTGTTTCTGTATCTTCCCTCAGACTTGCATGAACCAACTGATTGTTCTTACCCTTTCTAATGACATTGCCTTTCAACTTCTTGACTAACTAGCTACTCATGTGAACCCTCACAGTGGAAACAGGACAGTCCTTTGTCATTCTCTCAATAGTGGCACATTTTCTTTATCTGAATGAGAAAGTCATAAAGTCATTTCATGGTTCCATATCAAAGAGATCAAAGTACAGAATCGTTTGTAGTCGATGCAGATTTCATTGGACCCAGTTAACTCTATGCACCTTATCAAAAAAGATACATTTAGAAAAAAAGATGGCGTGCATGTTGGTTGATAGATTTATAACAAAGAGACTCAATTTATCCTTAAGTTCTCTCAGGATCTTCAAACTATTTCTAATGTGGGTATTGTTTCTTCAAAGGATGTTTTTTCCTTTGCTATTCTACTTTACGAGTGTCTCTCCATGCTGGTACTTTGCCTTAAATATGGATAGAGTATAATAGATTAGGCAATCATAACTGCTTATATCCTGAAATAGCCTTCTGAAAGCCTGCTTTGGAGTTGAAACCTGAAAAGAAGCCATTAAATGTTAATGTGAATCTCTACCAATGCACTGCATAGACAAAAAGTCGAGGGCATACATTTCAAGGACACACTGCAGTGTGTGCCTTTTTTTTTTTAATCTGAGGTGAAGGAAAATAATCAAAGTATACATTTCTGGATTTCGTGCCAACATTTAACTTTGCTGGCAGTGATTGAAATGAGCATTTCCCTCTATAAGGGTCAACCCTGGTTGCCTCCCTTGTGCTCTCAGTACTATAAATTACTTAAGTGGCCAAGACTCTCAGTCCATCAATATATTCATTGATCCAGGACAGAAACACACCCCTCAGCTTTGATTGAAATTCTATTTGTGCTGAAGTGTTGTTTTCCCCCGAACTACTATTCCCCATTCAAAGCTCTATCATGCCTGTAGCAGTCAAGAGGGTTCGCCCTGCGATCTCCCAGTAGATCTTCTCAGGACTTGGAGAGTGAAAAGATGAGAGAGACAACCTTCTGGCAGACAGAGAGAAAAGAACCTGTCAGTGCTGCCAGCCAAGTACAGAGTGTTTTTTTTTTTTTACACCTGTCCAAAGAGGAGCCAGATGGGAAGATGGAGGAAAAGATCACAATGAAAAGTTGGACAACATGCCCTGTGCCATATCCTCCCTTTCCAAACATGCCAGAGACCGGAAAGCCCCCTCTCCACAAAAAAACACTCTCTCCTTTTGCCTGCAGTGTGTTGTCAGAATGATTGTTGTTTCCTTTGTTCAAGCCTCTTAGCTGTTTTACAACATGTTTGAATCTCTTGGAGGTAGTTGTCCCAAATATTTTTGGACTGGATCTCACCCAATTCCTTTGGCTCTCTACCTCCTACTTACTCCCACTCACAGGAGCCACTTCACATATTCATTTCATTGTCGTTTTTTTCCCTGTTAGTCGCAGCAGTGAACTTTGCTGGTGCGTTGCCAGTTCCACCTCTCTCGCCTCATTTTAAATCAACTTTTACAATGCCTACCATTCTCTCTCCACTTCTATCAGCCCTGTTTGTCACTACAAGCACAGAGATCACTCATATGTTTAGGGCAGCATATTTGACTCAGAAGCATCATGTTTATTGACATGCTTGAACTTTGAAAAGGGTCACAGAATGCCTGAGGGCTAGAAAATATAACATGCAACATGCTTATACTGATTTATACCTGTTTGCACAGAAGAAGATTCAGTAGCAGCCCCCAACAACAAAAACTAAAATTAGACTTTTGATATTTTTGCATTGAAAACAAACAGTATGTAAACTATACTGTATAAATACATAGTGATTGTCAGACCCCTGAAAATCATGCTGGATGATATGTATCATATGTGTAGCTGCCAGTGTAATTATGATTAGATAAGATTGAATAACTTTTTCCCTGTTACCTGTATATGGGTCAGGCTTTTACTGCAAAATACTCCATTGGGGTATCTGGTAGCAGTTGCATAATCTATCACACAATGGGTACTAGAAAAGGGATCCACCCAAGGCTTATAATATCCCTTGGAAAACATCACATGGATTCAGATAGCTACACTGTTTCCCTCTCTGTGTTGAACAGTTAAATGAGAGGCTCACTTCCTCGTTTATCTGCTTAGAAAAGGGAGGCAAAGAAAGTGAAGGACCAATTTTAAATTATAGGAAAACCCCCTGCTGGGATATAAAAGCTAATCTGTGTTTTCGGGAATTACAACCCAGTTTCAAAATTGAGTCATTTTTCCTTGAAATAACATACACTGTACAAGATAATCTCAAGGCGCAGTTCACACAAAAGCACAAGAAAACATGTTTTATTACTCTTTCTAACCATTTATCCATCCACATAAAAATACTTAGTCTGTCTCAGTAAATTAACTACAGACTGTACAATATCCTACAGGGGTAGAAATGGCGCTCCAATGCCACCTTAAACATTTAAACAGCTAATGGCCAAACAAAGACAAAGCTTCGTGGGGTTCATCCCTTGACTGAAAACACACATTACTTAGCAACAGGCTATAGAGTTGTACTTTGGATTCTTTGTGCAATCCACCTCTCTTCTTTATCGTCTCAGACAGTGAATGTCTACAGTATATAGCAAGGATCGTTGCCGTTTTGAATACAGCACTTTAATATGTTATAGCCTGCAGGTTCAAGTTTATTATTCTGGCATATTTTATTCACTTCACCCGGAGACTGAGTAACCAGTGTCAGTAGCTAAGATTATTTTAGTCGGCCAGTAGGATGGCTTTTGTGCCACTGCTAATAAGTCAGTTGGAAATAAGATTCAAAATCCTTTTTAGTACCTCCCTCAACCAAGCCAGTGAATACACAGAACAGTGTTGATGTTTCTGATTGCTGAATTTTTCAGAACATCATTTCTGGACGAGATATTAATTCAGATGTGATTCAGCAATATAACTCAAAAGTTATATTAAAATACAATGATATGTAATTTTTTTTTGGAGTGTTTTAATATATTATCATCTAATGTAAGTCAACCCCTGCAGCATGAATTTTCCAGCATAAACATTCAGTGCTGTTAAAAGTCACAATCTTCAAATGCAGAATAAAATAAAGTTACAACTTTGCATTCGTTCACTTACATTCATTCAGAAGACACTCTTATCCACAGTACAAACACACGATACATCTGCACTGGACAAAATGTCCATATGTGACTTATCACACTGTTTCAACACACCAGATTTTATTATTACTTTACAGCCATGTATAAGAGATTGTGTTCAGGCTATTAAAAACCTAGATGTTATCAGTGTGGGGTAGGTTGCACCATGACCCCACCTTGTAATATATTTTTACATGCTGTATTTTCTTACTCTGAAAGAACAGCAAACAATGAGCAGAACAAAACAAGTTCATGAACTTGAACATGAGTTAGAAAAAATATACATGTTACAATCTTTTTTTTTTTATGTACAGATGAAATTAATTTATGCATTTCATACATTACTGATAATACTGACATATGTTGGTGAGCGCACAAAAATAATATTCCTTTCTAGTAGAAATTCAGTCATTTTAGTCCCATTTCAAGAAGCTTAAAGCGTGACAGTGGGTGTTGGACTGTGTCTGATGCTTTGTTCAGCTACAAGGCAATCAGATTTGTTTTCATATCTAATCTTTAAGGCTGACTGTCCACATTGTAATTTAAAAGTGACCAGATTGGGTTTGTGTATTTAGGGAGTGTAATAAGTTGCAATAATGTGTTGTCATGGTGATGGCTCACAATGCGCATGCTGACTATCTTTTCTATTTTTTTTATGAATAACGCAAGAAGCCTCTTCCTTTCGTCCAGCTGCTGGTGTGCAGGGTTTTTTTTTTTGTGGAACAAAACTAGGTCAAAACCGAGTATATGGCTGGATCGCATGGTAGGCTAATTGCAGTCTGCCTAGTGTCATCCGGTTTCAGCCCTTTATCTGTTTGCTTATCTCCTATACTCTCTGTACTCACGTACAGTATTTTAATACAGCCCAGTTGCCAATAAAGCTGCTCTCATTTATGTGTTTTCTTTGTTTGAAATAGTGACTGAAACGTGTAGTTCAGACTAAATGTTGAACAGTCACTTCCAAGCTGCTGCTCTGCACACAGTCCTGATTTTTATAGCTGCCCCATCGTCTGACAGAATTACCAAACACAGAAGTTAAAGACTTTAAACTGCAACAGTGGCTTTGCTGTGATTTGGGCTGTATTTACTTGTAAAATGATTGCTCAGACAGAAACTTAGTAGCTCATTAATGTTAGCTGCCGTGCAGTAAGCATGGACAGTTATGCCTGTGGAGGGAAAGGCTGACTTCACAATCATGCGGCAATTCCAAAAAGTTGGTAGATATGTCGCTAGGTGCTTTTAGTTTTTGTTCTCGCCAAATCATTTTTGAAAGAGCAACGACTAATGGTGAAACTCCAACACTTGGCTGGCCGACCAAAGGTGTAATTTTATCACTCTACTTATCGGCCCTGCTGTTGTGGTCCAGCCAAAAAGTGGCAACCAGCTTTAAAAACTGATTTGAGCAGCCCTGTCAAATTGCACTGATATACTACTCATTTGCAACAGCAAATATGTTTTGAAGTAAACGTATGTATCACAAAGTAATTAACGGATTATGTTTGTATTACTGTAATGAGGAAATGTTCATTTACACATTTTGCAAGTTGCAAATATGTTGATACTATATGAATTGCTGTTCCTATCCACCCCAAACACCTCCTGGTGATTCTACAACCGTTAATAAACGCAGTGCTTCTTTCATTAAAAAATTAAAGAAGCATGAAGAATATTCATTAAAAAATGAAAGAAGCGCTGCCTCTGAACGCAATCTAGCCAGCGATTATGTTGCCACCTCAAGGTAATTGGGAACAAGTAGTTTAGAAAGAAAGGAACATAATTTGTTGGGGAGAGGGTTGGATTTGAGTGGTCAGACTAATCTAATTTTAGGACGATAATTTCAGCTGCATTTTAAACATCTTACTATACTGTAGAAAAATGACCGGTGTCATGTCACTGTCACAAACAAGTCAGATTGTAGCTGTCTGAACAGAGCTTGAAACTTTCATGACAATGTAAAAAATATTGCTTTGAAATTACTGATACTTTGAACTTTATACAGTAGCTGGTGTATTCCCTTTGCTGCCTATGATACATTTGAACACAAGGCCATCACTAATTTACACCATAACCACATGACAACAAGAGGATAAGTTCTGGGAATTGGGTTTTTAAAATTCAAAATCTGTGGTTAAATTGTCAAACGATGACTTCACAAAGTAAACAAGGACTTAAAAAGTATGTATATACCATGCATTCTTCAAATATAAACCCACAATGTCAAGACCATCCACACTTATATTTTAACATTTTACATTTGTGGAATAATAAATAAATTTAGCAATGAAATGTATTGAACGGTCCAGAGGAGGTTGTTAGGTGTGATCTAGTACAGGATACTTTTATGTCTTCACTTGAGAGGAGAGTTTATAAGTGTGTACCTGTCATTGTGTGGCTCAGTTCTGTAGTCCCTAAAGCACCCATCCCATCAACTTCAACTTCCTATGTTAAAAAGGTTGCTGCAATAAAAACATCTCTACCGATATTTGTTGACCCAAAATCAGAAAAAGCAAGTTTTAAGATTATAAATCTGTGATCTTTCCTCTCTTCTGCTTTGTCTTAATGTCTTTCACCTTGCTCCTCCTTTTTGGGACCAGTCCATGCAGGTTCAAGGACAGTTTGTCCTTCTGTATTCACAGCTGTCTTTTAGATGCAGCTGCAAGAGTTATTGCAGGTATCCAGTTTTGTTTGTAACCTGATTCAAATATGGCATCACTAGACGGTGTGTTCTGACACTGCTGTTGGAAATAATTAACAACTGGTTGAGATGGGAAATAATGCGCGTTGCTGTACGTCTGGGTTGGCGTGTTTTCAGTGCTATCATCACACCCAGAGTCTGACCAGAGCTCAGAGCTGTCGAAGCTCTGCAATGACGCTAACGTTGGTCCTTCCTTGTTATAGTCTATGAGGTCTGATAAAAGAGGTTTTCTCTCTGGGTTAAGAGATGATACTATGTCATCTGTGCTGCTCTCTAACTGAAGAGTGAGCGAAGGCAACATTAGTTGTCCGTTGGTATCGCGCACTGTGTGTAACAGTAGCGGCATGGCTGGATTGCTCTCACAAGCATCCAGATGAGGTGAAGCTTGTTTTCCATATAACATCAGATTTGGAGTCGTTCCACCTTTATCCCAGAGTTCTTCACTGGAAAGCAAGGGTGGGTTTCGGGTTCCTCTGTCTTCAGTGGTAGCCTGCTGAAAGTCTTCCTTCTCTTCAGCGGGGACATGGACAACTACTGCACTGTAGATTTCAGACGACTGGGCGCTCGTATTCTGGGGATTAGGGGATGAACTGTGTGCACCTGTGCCCACAGAGGAGACTGTGCTACCTTCCCAGTCTTGAGAGGGGATGTCCTGGGGGGCATAACCTCCAGGCCTAACTGAAGTCTCACTTTGCTTCACTAGGATTTTGGCGTAGAGTGTTTGTTCACTTGGACCATTGCTGACCACCGCTTTGGAAATAGTGATAGGGCTGGATGGAGATTGCAGTACTTTACCCGGGGTGCCAGAAATGGTTTTCTGTTTTAAAGATAAGGAAGACAGACCCATGACAGTTAAATAAGTGCTTGACAACAGCTTTTTAAAATTTGATTAGAATAGTCTATACAGAAAATTTAAATGTGGAAACTCCTACATGATAGAAGTTGAACAAGGGACTTCAACCACAATATATTTGTTATCACTGAAACCCTCATGAGGCACTGAACACTCCTTCAGTTTACAACAACATCCACATTGTTTTAGTGTGTTAAAATTACTTTCATGTTGCTTCCTCTCATGAACAGAACACAGAACATGTGCACAGTAGTTAATGTGCCAGCTTGATTTTCCAGTAAGACAACAATTCCTTGTTTTAACCCAGACGCACCAACGGAAACTGAAGAAGTCTTACCAATGACTTTGGTATTTTATTATGCTTTCCGCCCTTCACATAATTGCACATCCAATAGGCCAACATCGCGACCACGGCCGCCAGAAGAGCAGCACCTGTGATGAGCCATGACAAAAGCATCTGATGATCACCTGAGGGAGAAGAGCATTTGTGTCATGTACTAATGTGAGGGGAAAAAAACGGCAGATGTGTAAAATCAGATACCCTCAAGTGCTTTCAAACATTTGGAAATTTCTCATCATGAAACACAAGCTTAGGCATGTTTTCAGGGAGCAGCACTGCAACATACCTGTGATGTAGGGCTGTTGAAATGTACCAGTACATACAGTATTAGTGCTTCTGGGAAGTAATTGTTGGTTAACCGGAACTTATCTCTTTAAGTATCTTGTCATCTACAGTCAATATTTACAGGTGTAACAGTTCAGAATAACAACGAGTCATGTGATGGTGAGAAGAGTGTCACCTTTGCAAGGAGTGCATAATAAGGACTGTGTAATCTTATCTCTTGTCACATCAGTATGACAACAAGAGAGGAAGGAGGGGACACATTTTTTTTGGAAAGGTTAATTTCATGTTGCTGCAAACAAAAGTATTTTAGAGGGATGTATGTAGCATCTTTCTAGTTGCAACCGGTGGGCTTGACGTGTTATACTGTGACTGTGAGGCTTGGTACAGATGCAGACATCTAAAAAGGGACTGATTTATAAACAACACTGTCTTGATTTCTTCCCAAACACTGCATTGTTTCCCAGTGGCTGCAATCACTTGAGGCGATGAGCACAAACTACTTCAAGTAAAATGGCATTTTCTCCACAGCAGGTGGGTCCTTGAAAACTTTTTGTAAACATTATAAGGATACCTCTGCTCCTTTCAGTTTCAAGTTTTTATAAACATACATGAAGTTGGTTAACGACTTAATTTATGCATTTATTTGTAAGTAATTTTCGTTTATGAACAAATACATCTTGTGCCCCTGGGGGGGGGGGGGCATACACAAATGACCAAATTTGCAGTTGACAGCAGATTTTACTTTCAAAACCTATTTACTGGCTGGCCAGTTGAAAATGGCTTTTATCGCTGCCATTGAACTTTTACAATATATATCTCAGCCATATACAATGTCAAGAAAAATAAATACCTTTGGTTTGTGAAAATTAAATCTTACTTCAACTCTAACATCATCACACAGGCTGTGCTGTGAAGCTGGAGAGATGTGGCGGTGGTGCATTTGCGACAATAAAAAAAGAAAAAAGAAAAGAAATTTGAAGGTGTGGCGGCTATGATTTAGCAGTGGTGGGCTGCCACTGCTAGATGAATGTAGAGGAAACTTTGGAATATTGGGCATATCATATGCTGAAAACGGCACTTAGCAATTATTATTCAATATTTATGAGATGATCAATAGTTTGTTCTTCTATATGTGTGAGAAAAAGAGAAGAGGTTGTGGTCAGTACTGTTCTTACCTAGCAATGTGACACAGAATGGGGCTTTCTCACTCACATTGCGACCCCATTCAGAAGACGGCTTGTAGACAACATGGCCGCAGTACTTTGATTGGTTTTTCCCCAAGTTGATGTCAAACTGGCCGGTTGTGACATCACTGAGCTGGAGACACAGTGGGTCACATGGATTCTAACTGATTGATTCAGTCCATTGAAGGTTGCACAGGTCAGACAAACAAGAAAACTCAGAAAAAAAATTCAGAAACATTTCAGCTCAATAAGAACAAACAAAACCTGGGGGCAGATGGATAAGAGAAAGTAACTCAATAACCTCACAGTTTAAAGGCTGAATCCTTTGATTGTTTACTATTATAAATGAACTCAAGTCACATTGATAATTTGTAGGCCTGATCTTACTGCTGTGTAAATATGCACTTAGTGCCCACTTTATTAGGTACAGGTTTACAGTGCAATGCAGTGCAATACAACAGTTCTACCATAAGTTATACCTTTTTTTTTAAATGCAGTTTAAAATGTTCAGTTTTTGTTGTTAAAAATTGCTTCATATTGAGATGTGTTAGTATTTCTTTTCCTTTCCATTCACATACAAGCAGTGGGTGGACTCACCTGCAGTTCAGCCCATTCTGGTTCAGTGATTTTTAAGTCATAATAGATTACAGCTTTGGAGGGCCTGTTTCTGCTGCTACTGATGATTTCTGCAATGGAGACCCCATTTGGCCCCATGGGCAGGGTGACCTTAACGGACATGGATGACTCTGTTGTATATGTAGTCAAGGTGGGTGCACCCAAAATAGCTACGAAGACAAAGAAAGGTGAATGAATAAATGTTGCAGCAGAATACATCTGGCTTGGAGGAAACCAAGAAATGCTTGAATGATGATGGAGATTCTTACTATCTGCTATAGGTTTAAACCTCATGGGAGTTTGGCCAAGCAAGCGACCGTTAACGAACACCTGAGCATTGTAATGCACGTCGGGAGCTGCTGGAGTTTCTGCAGTCAGGTCACAGGTCAGAGCAGTAATGTTCTGACAGCCCTCTGTTATCCGGTACTGCTGGTCCACGTCGCTGTAATGAGCGCAGTATAGTGTGATCAGTCAGTTCACTGGTACCCATTTGACAGAGCTGTCTATTCATTAGTTTGAGTCAATGATTTCCAAAAAAAATAAACATTATTATTAAAGGATAGGCCCACAAATTTTCAAGTCTGTCTTAAAACAGTCTGAGTCATCGCCATATCATTCTTATTGAGGTGAAGTGCAGGGATAGTAACACAGACAGAATTTCTTACTAAAAGTAAAGTAACTTGGGAAGATATCCACTTTATTTGACTAACCCAGACTGCTGAAGCCTCATATTGGCTTCAGATAAGCTATTGAATTCATTTTTACACAGAACGAGGACTGTAGATTTTTTTCACTCACACTGGGAGAGTTGAATCTTTTAATCGTCAGTCTGGAGAGGAGGAATAATTAGAGCAAGTAAAACCTCTCTGTGTTCATATGGGCACTTCACTATTGTTTAAGACACTTGAAAAATTTTGAGCCTGTCCTCTTAAACAAAGACACTGGCATGAAATTCTGACAACCTCCATCTGGCAGCAGAAGCTGTTCGACAGTGAAATAATGACACAAAGATCTTCCTGACCCATTCATCATTTGAACACATAGTGCCCTTTTGAAGATCACAACATTATTGACAGCATTTTTGTTTTAACCAGGAACTAATATTGAGCGGGCATAGTTAAACTTCCTCTGCAGCTGATTTGATGCAGGAAGTCATCCCAGAATTTTTTGGTGACAGTCGCTGGGGGAAAAGTCACAAAGATAGGGGTGGCACTTGACATTTGTCTGGGAGCCTGTGTCGCGAGTAATTAGACGAGATGGCATTTCCACTTTGTTGAGGCTGTTTGTAGAGACAGAGTGAAAAGAAGAAAGAAAAAAGTTCTACATGGAAGCCAGGAAAGTGCACAGTATGAGTGCTCCATCTCCATTCAGTGAGGAGAGCAGTCCATGCTAAGGACTGGGAACAAGCTAGCTATCCTTGAACCATGTGGTACACTAAAGACCTAAGCCAACAATGTGTTAAATATGTTAGTCCATCTCTCAATACTGTGTGACTTCCCCAGACTGACTGTGGCTCTCAACCACAAGCCCATTTTACCTACTGGGCACATTTGTCATGTTTTTAAACCAGCAGGACTCTGTAGTTTTTAGGAAACAGTGTTAAACAGTCGTGGATTTTCTGTGCTAGTGAGTGTTTATGATCCATTGTGTCTATACACATTTTATTCCTGATTGGATACAAACAGACCAGAGTTATACTCCCAATTTGTTAGTCCACAGATTTTACAGCGCTTTAATATGGACACTGACACTGAGTGTTTACCCTGCAAACACGTTTCCTGCTTTGACCCACTTCTCCATATGGATCCATAAGGGCAGTGGAAGTAAAGGTATAATAATCACAATAATGACAGTAATCACTCATCTATCGTCCTGGGTCTTACTTCCAGAGCAGGACACTGTAGAGCACCTTTTCCCCTTGGGTGGCAGGCTGCACGGGGTTCCAGTGGAGTACATTGTAAAAGTTCTTGGAGACAAAATGCACTGTCCCATTTCCAGTTGAAAGACAAGCTGGAAGAAAAAACATAGCAAAAGAGAAAAAAATATAATTTTATGATAGATACTAATGCTGTGCCCTTCTTCTCATTCAGCGTGGTTCATAAATCAAAATCTGTCACTTTTGTAGTTTTTGATACTTTTTATGAAACTGCTAGTAAGGACACTATTCTGTACAGTAACAAGAGCCGCAGACAGCCTTTAGTACTCAGATTACATCTTGCCTTTATCTACGTTGCAGCCCAGATTTCTAACCTCAATGCATACCTTAAAATCGTTATACCTCAGCATCCACTCTCCGCCCATCTCCCAATGTATGATGATTATGATAGCATGATTTTCACACTCTAGCTGCTAAAGCCTGAGTGATCCAGGACCACAGGGAGATTATGCAAGATGGACTTTGTTTCTGCTGGTAGTTGACACTCAAAACTGCGCTTTGTTCCTTAACTTTGCCGGCCATATCTTTTACACAAGGAAATAATTGCCATCTTTCCAGCTGGCGTACAGGAAAGGGATGCGGAACACAATCCTTTAGTGCGAGAAGTAATGTCTATCGTATAGCTAGAGTGATTCATACATAAAACACCTTTTCATGATGTCATCCCATATACACATAGCTGGTAGTTTACCAACCCAGAGCATATTACAGTTTAAATATCATAGTCCATGTAGTTTATTGAAGATGTGAAGGACACAAGGCTAAATTCAAAATTAGCATTTTTATAATGTGCAATTTGATAGTCAATATTTCATCAACCAGACAATAAAATGAAATAGCATTTTCCATCGATCACTATCAGTTAAAGCTGAAGTCCTCATTGTGTTGTGGGACTCTCCTTCATTTCAAACGAGAGGGAATCACTCTGTCAAATGTATTACTTGGCTTTATTGCTTTAGAGTTATTTATTTCTTCTATTAGGTCTACTTTGTAGAAATGGTAGCCTATTAAATGTTTGACTGCCGGTAATCAACATCTGTAAATTAAACAAAGATCCATATTAGCTCCTCTGTACTCACCATCGCTGAACAGCAGGAGGATGATGACTTTCACAGACTGCATCTTCATTAGGCATGTGGGTAACAGAAAATACCACAATCCTACTTTCTATTAGCAGCCGCTATGTTGTGAACTCTAAACTAAAGCAATAAATATACACACCACAACAAAAATAACTGAAACAAAAAAACACGTAAACTCCTTAAACACCACAATCCACCCAAACAAAACCAGAGTCAATGTCAAAAAGGCTATAAAATACAAAAATTATACTGGGTTTCAGTACATTTCCAAGCCTCCGCTTCTCAACCATCTCTGATGTGCCCTGGGAAAGGAGTGGCTTGACACAGGTGTGCAGGTGTACTTTGGCATATGTTATCACTTTGTTCCTGTTTTTCTGTTACTCTATGTTCCGCCCACTTGCATTCTTTCTCCAGACTCTCGACTTCCTTGATTCACCTTCCTTCTTCTCCCTTTCCTCTCTCTCTCTCTCTCTCTCTCTCTCTCTCTCTCCTTTCTCGTCTTTCAGGTAATTTCTGGTTTCAGCGTTTTACTGGAAATGATCTTGCAGAAGACAGAAAGTGAAAGAACATGGTGACACACTGAATAACTTAAGGTGTGTACCTGTTTTACAGACCATTGAGTAAATACAGGCTGAAACAACAGACAGACACTATATGATACAACAAGCCCTTAATTTCTGTTAGTAGGTTATAGCAGCCGTCACACCATCGAATGGCACGGAATCCAATATTTGTACTGTCCTGAAGTACAAAGAGGATAGGAACCCATTATGTTTGTTATAATCAAGTTGAATTTTTGGTTCTGATCGCCGGTTCCATTTCAGATCCCATTCCTGTTTAGAAAAATACCTGCATTTGTTATGTTCTGATGATAAAGAATCTCTTTTAGAACTGTTTTTGTCCTTATTTTTTTCTTTATTAACAAAGACTAATGTTGAAAACATGTAGGTAATGTTAGCAGCTTCTTTATAGGTGGCGCTGACTGTTGCTTTTTCTAGTTAAATTTCACTGGTGGTAAATTACATTAGCTGTAGCTAATTAATGATAATTCCACAACAGCTCCGCTGAAACTTGAGTGTGTTGGTTAATGTGCTCTCTCCAAGCCGTTGGCTGCACTATGCCTAAGATTGTTTATGAATGAAACAAGCACTTATGTTTATAACCAACTAAACTGCAACAGAAAATGCATTGTGTAGGAAAAGACACATCACGCTGTAGTTGTCTATTTTAAACATCTTATTAGATCCCTTGTTTGGATCTGGTCTAAAACCAGTTGTATTTAAAGTTAAAGCAACATCAAAATTTCACATATTCTCCAGTAACAAATTTGCATAAAATGCTTGTACTCTTGATATGTAATGTGTTGTCATGGCAGCACATAAAAGCAAACAGCTGTCAAGGTCACAACAAAAATTGCATTATAGCTGCTTCATTGAAATGGCATTAGCCACAAGCAATGTGAGAGACACTGCAACCACATGCAGGAAATGAACACACCCCAAATTCATCACCACGGATATCTTACCATAACAAACTTTCCCCGTGTCAATCAAACAAACAAACATGATAACAGCAAACAGTAGTGGTTGTACAGGTGGGATATTTCTCTGTCAAATAAATGTTAAGGTTACGTAGGAGAGACACAGACATTTTAACTTGTCCCAGCAGGAAATCGACAGGCTGTTGTTGGTCTCTGTCTCATTAAAGCAACATGGTAAAACAGATCCAGCTTTTCTATACATATGATCAAATACAAAGGTTCACCCTGATCACTGAATCATCTGTGTGGGTGACAGTATGGATGAGGGAGCGACATGACTTGGAGCCTGATGGTTATTGTTATTGAATTGTTATTGCTGTAACTGTAAACTGTTAATGTGCAGAATTTATTCTTCTTATGGCAGTTACCAGTCTCAGATTACTACCTCTCCCCAGACTAGGGGAAGGCCAGACCCTTATTTGCATGAAATCTAGTTACACATGCTACTACTACTCCAAATAAAGTGAGGATAGGCTACTTTAGAAAAAAAATAATGCCATGAATAGTAATTTATTCATCAGTTAACTTCATACAAAGTGCAGTAAACAAAAAAACAAAATCAAGTCAATATTTGCTGTGACAACCCTTTGCCTTTAAAACAGCACCAGTTCTCCTTTAGGCACACTTGCACACAGTTTTTCAAGGTACTTGGCAGGTAGATTATTGGAAGCACCTTGGGGGGAACTGCGGATTTAGACTGTCTCAGTGTCTTCTGCCACTTCATGTCATCCCAGACTGACTCCATGATGTTAAGATCAAGGCTCTGTGGGGGCCAGACCATCAACTGCAGGACTCCTTGTTCCTCTTGTCGCTGAACGTAGTTTTCTGTGACTGTATGTTTGAGGTCATTGTCTTGCTGCAGAACAAATTTGGTACTGATAAGATTCTTATTCATCATGCAATACCATCAGGGAGGCATCTGAATATCTTAAAGTGCCACAGTGATGCAGCTATTGTTGATGTTATTACATACATGGTAGGTGTAAACAGGTATATTGTTGAAAGAAGGAAGTGAATTTACTTCTTGATGCAGTGACGCAATTCATGATGTTTGAACTCTTGATAATGAGAGGTATTTGCATAAATACCTGATGTTGCCAAATATAACATCCATTCACTCAGCTGTCAGTTTATAATCGACACCTGTAGTTAAAACTAGTACAGTCTAACACAAATTCAAGTTTGTGGTAATTTTGGAGGCTGCAGTTTGAGGTGCTGTTGAATTGTATTACATTATGAGGACAGATATGTCTATTATTCTGTCCTCCTTGCATTATAGAGGGCAGGCTACATAACAGAATCACCTCTCTGTGTAAGGCAATAAAATGGCACCACAAACTACATCCTCCAAAATGATCATGCAGTTGAATCAACAGTTCTCTGTTTCAACAGTTTCAATGTACTGGTTCAGCTGTGGGTCAAAAACCCAACATGTTTAAACACTTTATAAAAAAAACAAACATGAAAAAACAAAAAACATTAACATGTCTGTATTAAGAGAAGACATGTGCAGTACAGATAGTTACAAAAGTGTATTACCAGCAGGCTCATTCACCTTTACTGCAGATCCTGCCGTGGTTGGCAGGATGATGTCCTTGATTTAAAGTAGATGCCTACTAGCTTGTGGCATGTTGTTTTGGATGAGAATGTAAAGCTATTGACTAAATTAAATGTTTAATTGGTTTAACCCAGAACACTAACTCTCCCATGGGTAAACAAACTAATGCTATTAAAATATTTTGTGCCTCTTCAGCTTCAGATCTCAACACTTACTGTTTACGTCTTTGGTAAAGAGTGAATTAAAATCAAATTTACAAAAAAATTTAGTTGGAGTCTGAACTCTTGGGTGTTTTAAAATGAATATCAGCCTGTGTCAAACACCCTGTTTGGCCCTCAGGGGACGCTTTTTTTGTACTTTGTTGAAAAAGCAATACTTCAATCATTTTACTCAACCTGCAACCCTCACCCTTTCCCTGCCTTAATACAATTAGAGGAATTATATTTTGTGGTGGAAGCTAAATTAGGGCAGCGGTCTGCTCATAAATTATGCATGCTCTCAGAATCTGCTCATTTGTAAAATCACAACTTGGAGAAGTGAATGTGATTGTGTGGTTTTCTGCTCTTTTTGTGCGCTCTCTTGCTGCACTCTTAATTGCTCTCAGAGAGGAGACGTTGATGCACTGTAGAAATAGATTGAAAAAAAAATCTATTCCAAACTTCTTATTTCTTTTTTTTCCTCTGGCAAAAATCTATCCCTGGTAAATTTAGACAGATTCCTACTCATGGCAGCCGTTTTTCCATACAAGTCTGTTCAACAACTCTCCATAATACTGCAAAAGTATTAAGATAATCATTTTCGTTGTAAAAGTCGCCTTACTTGGATGTCTTTGAAAAGACTGTGTAAGATATCTTTGAGCCTTGACAGTGTCCTTAAAGTTGGATTACATTTATTTACAGTTTGCGAGTTAAATACTGCTTATCTTAAGAGTGGTGGAAAGTAACTAAGTACATTTACTCAAGCACTCTACTAAAATACAATGTTGAGGTACTTGTACTTACCTGAGTACTTCCATTTTACTCTTTTTTTTTTTTATACCTGGACTTTACTACATTTAGGAGGCAGATACTGTAGTTTTTACTCCACTGCATTTATTTGTGATCTTTAGTTACTAGTTACTTTGCAGATTCTTCAAATTAATAATACAAATCTTATCAAAAAATAAGTTATGATATATTATTATAGGTTAAGATAAGACTTGATTGATCCCCTCAGGCAAATTTACAAACTACCCAGCTGTATATAAAGTAATTAAAATCAGTCACTCCTGCAACATTAAAGGGATGTGCACTCTGACGTAGGTCAGAATGAGCACTTTTACTTTTGATGATTTGAGTATATTTTGATTCTAAAATGTTTGCACTTTTACTTAAATAATTATTTATAATATGAATTTGTGACTTTTACTCATAACATAATGTGTCTATGCTGTGATGTTGCTACTTTTACTTTAAGTTAAAGATCTGAGTCTTCCACGACTCTAACCTAAATAGTTTGAGTCGTTGATTATTTACTGGGACTGTTTGTGTGTCCTTCCTGCGTTGCTATCCAAATGAGAAAAGGTAAAGAAAAGAAAGAAAAGTGTCCAAAGCAATTTGTTATAACTCATTATTAGACCGCTGCATTTCCAGAACGGCTGAAATATAGTGTGCCCATAATTTCCCGTCTAAAGTGACATTAAGAACGGAAAAGGAAAAATCAATCTCATCTCAGACTGAATGACAGACTTTCAGTTCTGCCTTTTCTGAAATTGCCTTTGTAAGAATAACATGTATAGCACAGATTGATTTGTTCCACCAAAGCAAAAATAATCTACTAAAAAAAGTGATCTCATTAAAATCCTTATTGATTTCTATCTTTTCCTAATATTGCATGTGCTGATCTATGTGTACACAATCTGTTCATCATCAGGTGTTGTCTGTTTCCAGTGGGTTATGGTCAGTGACACCTTATTATAGACACCAACATCCTGGCAGTGATTTGCTTTGATGGTTCATTTTAATTAGGTGGTTGTTTGACTACCCTACTGTAACCAGTGTTATTACAATATGCCACCTGGCTGCAAAATGATAAAAAGCCCTGCCTCCCGGCTTTAGATGGAACTTGCCGCACTGTTTTTGACATGAGATGTTGAGTACGTGGTGTGGACAATGTTAGAGTCCACTTCATTGTCTGTATAAACCTAGTGCAGTG